TAAGGAGATATTCTGTCATTTATAACAAGAAAATGATAAAAATTGCAGCTGCCAATGCAGTCATTACTGTGGCTATGTTGTGAATTTATATTTTTATACTGCATCAATTGTAAAAGGAATAGTACAATTTAAATTATTATAAGTTCTTCTGTAATGGCGAAATGAGTTTTAACCTATGCAAAGTCTCTTTTACGTCCTGTCGCTTTAGAATATATATTTACATATTTATAAGCGTAAATACATCAAGTGAAAATAATATCAATTTGGTTTATTAAAAATTGTTTTTCACATAAATATGTAAATGGATTACGTTTTTGTAAAACTTTCTAATATTTACCGCAAAATTTCTAAGTTTCTACGCTTATCTGTCAAATTGCGATCGCTCCTAAGCAGGGAATGTCAACGTATCCCAGTGAAAAGAAAGCTCTTCATAAAAATCCGTCAAACTCTTCCAAGTCGGCTGAGTATAAACTATATATCCTGCATTTCTCGGAGAAAAATAACAAATTGGAGTTGGAGAGTTTTGTGACATAACTTAAAGGAGACGCAACTCGAAAAGAATAAAGTGACAACAACTAAACTTATTTGAGCTTCTTCATCTTCCACAACGAGAAGGTGTAGGTTCCATTTATTCTCTTATGCCAATAAACATACTGGTCCTTTATAATGCCAAAAGGAGGTTCAGTTTAGTACGAGCTGAAAGCTCAAAGTTTTTTGCGAATTTTAAGATAACCTTTGATATCTAAATAATTTTGATACTTCATTTAGTCCTTTGTACTGCGAAGCTCTAGATATCTCACATAAGTTCTAGATAACGCCGAAGAAAAGCAGATGAGATGTACCAGCTTCTCAGTCATACCTTCTTCCTTGCGATTATTGTATGTGGCCCGCGTGCAATGCCTATAGGTTGTGATCTCTCATTAGATTAACAACCGTCCTGCTATCATTCCGAGGCAGCGTGAGCAAAAGTCTCATACATATTTCCAGCCACTTTTTGCGATCTCTGGTATATATTATCCAAAATTAAAAATAATATTTACTTTAGTTTCATTTACTTCAGATTTGAAACACACCATGTTTCTTTACAGAAAGTGAATCTGGGATCCATCGATCTATTAGAAAAGTACGCATTTTTGGTAGGATTTGCTTAATACTTGCAATATAGATAACTTTTTCACTAGGTAAATAGTTGGGAAGCCTTATTTCAGTTTTCGATCTCAACGCATTTTGGGTTCGATATTCTCGATATTTGTATTAAAAAATAAAAAATAATAATATAAGATATAGAAAATAGTATAAAAAGTTGGAAAAGACCAGATTAAATAAAGCAACCTCAAAATATAAATTTCTTTTGTCATTTAACTCGCTTTTTTTGGATAATTATTTGGTTAAAAGCAATGTAGTCCGATCCCAGGTTAGAGATGCAAACCTTAGGTTTCTTGAGCAACAGTATAAAAGCAGATTTATGAATAAACTTAAATTGAATGATATTTGGGAATGATATCATTTGTGAAAAAGTTAGAATTATTTTCATCTTTCAATATTCTTCTCTCTTATGCACTACAATGCTTACCATTCACCATTGAATATCAATACGAAATGGCGCTAAACACATCGAAATCATGCCTAGCAACCGAAGCCTCAGACACATAGCCAATAGCTGGTGGGACGACTTGCCTAAGATGCACGTCTGCGTCTTGGCATCGTTTAGCTGCCGTCGCGTCGTTGACATTCTGAGGTTCATTGACGTAAAAAAAAAACAAAAAAAAAATTAAAAGAAATAAAAACAAAAATGTAAAAAACACGACGACAACAGATTGGCAGCAGGTGACTACAATTACAGGCACAAAAAAGCAAAAGCAATGCGCTACGTGCGCTCTGTCTTTTGCCATTCGCCATTCGCCGTTCGCCACTAAACTGTCAGCAAAACAGTTGCCCTAGTCACCGGCTTTGCTATTCGGAAACGTTTTTCTCATTGACTAAGCTATTGCTGCTGCTAACTGCTGACTGCTGACTGCTGCCGCCGCCGACTGGTGCTGCCCGCGGTTGTCGTCGTCTCGCCGCAATTGAACTTACCACATTCAACCAATAACATTAACCACAACAATAATAATATTAATAAAAATCAACAAAATGAAGAGGGGAAAAAACGAACAACAACAATTGTAGGTTAAAGCAACAAGAAATTTATTGAACGTTGCACTTGAATTGCCGGCGAAAACAGGTTGTTTGGGTTGACTGGCTGTTGGAGCGACTAGTAATAGTGGCTTGGTAGTTGTTGTGCCGCCAGCTATTAAGTAGGTCACCACAATCATGTAAATGTACATATATACACTCATATACTCATATAGTCATATATAAATATACCACAGTCTTGCCACATATGGTTGCATTGTTGCAACGTTGTGCTGCTATGCTGCATTCCAAGATATCGCGATGTTGCACTCGCACAGCATCCATAAACAACTATAATTTCAAGCTTACTTACTGGCATACATGCGTAAGTATATATACTTAAGTATGAATATATACATATGAATATTTCCATAAGCTAGGAAATTACAGCAATTGTTATGCAGGTGGACCGAACTTTTGTAGACTCCGAATTCTTTAAGACTATATATACAATACTTGTGTAAAAGTTTATATTATTATTTGGTTATTTATTATTTTTTAAGGAAAAATTCAAACCCGAAGTGGAATTACATATATTAAAGGACAGCTCATTTACTTAGTCAATTTTTTACCCATATCTACGAGTGCACAATTTTGTTTGTTTGAGGTGAACCTCCGAGTACAAGCCTCCAAAGAAAAGAAGGCAGTTTTTGTAAAAGTTCTGCTTACAATAACGGTTATGGTATCTGTAATTAGTAATAGCAGATATTGGCTTTGACCGATTTTTCGTAACAAATCTAGACTTTTCAGCAAAGCCGCATCGTAGCGATAAATTTCAACTAAATGAAAATAAATCGTTAAAAGATAATGTTAATGTTATAATTGAAATGTGCTGTTAAGCGACCATATTAAAATTGACGTTACCGATAAGTTTGGGCGGTTTCAAAATAATTAATTTCTCTTCATTTCGAAACAAAATCATTTCGTTAATTTTTTTTCATATCGAAATGCCTTCGTTTCGTTAGTTAAGTTCTTAAGCATCTGTGCCCGAAACGTTATGCTATCGTCAATGTTAAATCGTTAACAGATAATGTTAAATGTTAAAATTGAATTATGCTGTTAATTCCAAATAGTGGCATTTTAAATATTAACCTTAGCAGGAAGTTTGTGCGGTTTCAACATTATAAATTTCATTTAATTTCGTAACAAAATCATTTCGTGAAGTTTTTTCCATATCGTATAAGTTTTTTTATTAATTCATGAATTATATGTTTATGTCTTTTGGATTAGTTTATATACGCATTAAATAGAATTTAATATGTTTTAGGACCCGCCGAAAAATAACGAGAAAATGGGAATACAAATACTTCTGGTCAATAGCTTTAATAGTGTTTTATTTCGGTCTCTAACCTCCATTTCACCTTTTATACACTTTATCCGAATCTTTGTGGCCATTCAATAAACAATAAACAATGCGATTTGAAGAATCTTGTTCGAGTCTGGAAGTATTCAGAATCTGTAGCACAATTACTAGAATCAGGATTAGAGCAATGAAATTTAATATAATTTAATTATGTGGCAAGGTTTTTTCAGGAACACAGTTTTCGAGAAATTTCTGATGAATGAAGACCATTTTCATTGTTACCTCGAAGCTAAATTTGAAAGTTTCACAATATAACAAATACTCATAAGCATCCTTTTCTGAAGCAGTAAACATGGCATAAAGATTTTGGAAAAATAAGATATTCTCTATATGAAAATTTTGAGTGGTTAGCATTGCATACTACCGTTTGGAGGAACAGAGCTCGAGAGGTATTTATGTAACTTGGCAGTCCAATAGACTTTCCCAAAAATGCGTATTCCCACAACCACTACTCGGAAGATAAAGTTGTACTTAGTGAGTTTGAAGCTAACTTGTTTATAGGATCAGCCGCTGTGTGTTATTGTGCCTGCCGCCCATTCTTCCTCGCTAGAGCAAGAGTAGTTGGTTTGAAACTAATAAAAGGTTTCTTTTTCTGGGTTCCATAAATTTGGCCTTGTAACGAGGAGGATGACAGGGCAACTGCTGAGCTCAACGACAATTGCTTGCTGTCTATTCGCTGAGAAACTTCGATGGAAAGAAGCAGCCAACAAAATTATATTTAATTACTGGAATATTTGCAGAGGATTGCCTCAAGATGGCGCGCTTTTTCTCCAGGCTGATGAGTTTTTTCCAAACCTTGATGCAAGCGACTCTTCGAAGAGTATCTATCAAAGTCTCACCACTTGAAAGGTACAACTCCATAACAGGCTTATCAGATTGCTGCTGCTCAACTCTTGTTACTGTTATATAATGTAAGTCCATACAATATAGCATGGAACGTTACAGTCGACTGTATTGAGATATATGCATTGAAACTCGGTGGATGAGTTGGAGAAAATGATTTCCCAAGGATACCTTTTTTTGAGCTCTATTTCAGGCAAGCTGAAGTTTGAGCCATTATGGAGGCCGCAGATTATATTGCAGCCTAGCTCACGAGCCAGGATATCTTTATTTTCTGCGATAGTTAAGTAGCGCGTAAATCGCTTAGCTCGCTTACAATAAAGTAAAAGACTATGTAAAACTGGCACTGATCTCTATGATCTCTATAAGAGATAATCAAGCGGAACAATTAATCTTTTGAGTACCAGACCACTCAGAACAGTACCACCAAGGATCTCTACGATCAGCGGTTTAAGCCGAGCAGTGATCTGTCAATCAAACAAAAGAGTATTTTTTTTTTAGGAAATAAATAAATAAATGCTTAGCTTTCCCACATTATCCATTGTCTTTTTATAATTTAATTCTTAGATTTATTTAATTCAATTTAATTAATGTAATTTTTTTAATTACTCTTTACTTCTAGCTGCCCTACCCGGTGCTGTCTGCTACAGCCACGCTCACTGCCAAATGTTTGACACACGTTCCCATTGTGATTTTCTCATCCCCAATCTCTTTGGGCGTTGTCAGTGCACTTCCCCTGCTAGGCTCGTAGGAGGTTTTTGTGTCGAAGGTAATGCTGCAGCGCCAGCAGAAATCTCAGCACCTACAACAACATCAACAAGCAGTACAACCACTACCAGCACCACCTCAACAACAACTACAGCCGCGCCAACAACTACAACCTCGGTGCCAGTAGCTGAGCCAGTGAGGTACGATAGTATCGAAGAACAATCGACTTTCGATGAAATCGCTGAATCACCAGCCAATTCCGATGCTGACATGGACATACCAACTACCACATCGCAGCAAGCATTGACACCGGCAGTAGCCGAGGAGCAACAACAACATGTGTTAGCAGCTGATGAAATACTGGCACAAGAAACCACACCCGTTGCAGATGATTATCCCTATAAGATCGAGGATGAGTATGATGGTGATGTAGATAAAGAACAGCAGCAACAAGATGATTATGAACATCCACAACAACCGATTGCAGTAGAACAAAATGAACACATACACGATAGCCAAACGCATGCTGAGGACGAAGAACATATACAACAACAGGTACAGCAAGATCATATCGAGGAAGGCGAGGCACTGCCTGAGCAGCGGCCTGCAGCGGAGCAAGAGCAAGTGCAAGCATCGACAAACGTTGAAGAGACACCCGTAAAAGAAGTCTACCAAGAAGCTCAAAATCAACAATCTGATATTGTAGAAACTGAACCCGTTGAAGAACCGATCGTAGAAGAACAAGCGCACATAGATCAAGTATTAGACGAACATAAGCAAGCAGATTTCGTTGAAGAAACTCCACTCAAAGAAACGCCAGTCATAGAACAAGCCGAAGATCAAGCCTCCAATGCAATTCAAAATGTCCCTGAGAACACTAATTCCCTAGACGCTGAAAATACAAATACGGCAGAAAATATTGACATCCCATCTCCAGCTTTTAGTGACCCTGTGCGTGAACAGGATGTGATGAGAGAAGAACAAAACAATGTCTCCGATAATATTGTACATCTTGACGAGGAACAAAACACCAACAACGAACCACAACAATTGGCCGACGAATTTGGGCAGAGTGAAAAAGAACATGTTGCAATGGCAGAAGAGAAGAATGACGTAGCGGAACAGGATTTAAAACAAGAACAACCAAACATTGTGACAGACCAAGTTGCTGAAGAAGCAGCAAATATTTTCGAAACTGAGCATGTAGCAGAAGAGACTCCCGAACAAATGTCTTTGGCACCTCAAAATAATGTAGCGTCTAATATTTTCGAAGACCCAGTAGTTAATCAAGACCATAAGGAGTCTGTTAAAGTTGAAAATGAAGATAAATATGAACAGGCAGCAAGTGAAAATGAGCAACAAGTAGAATTGACACCTGAACTACACGCCGAAGAGCACATTGTATCCTTTGATGGAACACAAAATCAAAAGAATGAAATCTCGCAAAACTCAGATGAGTTATCCGTGGGCACAACTGTGTCTCACGAAGCCACCAATGCGCCAAACTCATTGTCTTCAGAACATCAGGAACAGCAGTATGTTGACTATCATCCCGAAATGGAAATGTATGAAGATGTGGAGCATGAAGAAGAGCACGCTGCGGATATCGTAGACGATACCATGAAATTTGATTATGAAGCAGCACAAGATGAATACAATGCTGAACATACGGAAGCAAACAACGTTGACGAAGCATTCGCCGCGACTGACTCAGCCAATTGGCAACAAGAATTCGAACAAGGGTCAGACACCACACCAACTGCGACGTCGGAATTCGAGTCACAACCTCAGGCGCCTGCACTTGGTGTACCGGAAAACCAAAAAGAGACGGATGGCGTTAGTCAGCAAGAATTCGAAGAAAACAAAGCTGTCGAAACGCAAGAAACTGAAAGTGAGACACAACACGCTCAGACATATCCGCAGCCGACGCAGCAGCCTCAGGCGGAAGAAAATGAGGAAATTGAAAGTACTACATCAGTGAACGCCGCCAATCCAGCCAACTTAGACTCACCGTCAGCAGTTTCCGAACAAGAGCACAACAACAATCTACCAAGCAGCAGTGTAATTGCCCAAGACGAATTTATTGAGCCTGAGGAAGCGACAATAGCAATAACGGAACAAAGTGCACCGGAACAACAACAAGACGACATACTACCGCCCGAAAACGTACAAGCTGAATCTAGCAACCAACAGCAAATTGTGAATGAGTCCGAGCTGCCATCAGCAAACGAGCCAAGCGATGTGGATCTTGTTCATACAGCTGACGAAGACAGTGCAGACGTGCTTGGAGCAGTAACAGAGGGAATTATAGCAGCCGACAACGATGCAGCAGCTAGTGAATTAGTGAATCAAGTTATAGAAAATGAAGAATTTTCGCCAGAACATACAGTTTCAGTAGATTCAATGACAGTGACATCACCAGTTTTTGCACAAGCTGCAGAAGTTTCGGATATGGAGAACGATACTAAGAAGACTCAAGAAGAGCAGGAAGATAGTCATATTGTACAAGATCCGGCTTTTGTGGAAGAAATTGCGGTGACAACCGAAGTACCATTATTCCAAAGGACTGATACTGAAGCGATTGCCACAGAAGAGAATAACGACATTGAACAGGTGAATGGTAAAGATAGCATAATTGCTGAAAGCGAGACTCACACCGAGCGATATGTCATGGATGTTGAGGATCTGATAAAAGAAGAATCTCAGACAAATAAGCTTGACGCAACGGCAGAGCCTGAGCTCGATAACAAAATAGCACACCCAGAGGCAGGAAACAATGTGGTTGAGGAGAATAGTGAAAATGTTGTGCTTGATCAGAATCAGCTAGCAACACCAGAAGAGATTGCGATAGTTGAGCACGAAGACGCAGCAGCTGAGGAGAAAAAACCTGTTGATAGCTTAAACCAGTTTGAGCAAAATGTTAATGGCAATGAAGTGAGCCCCCCAGAACAAAGCGGTCACACAAAAGGAACTCATGTTTTTGTTGAAGCTAATCCCACTGAAGCTGAGAGCTCGAGCGATTCCAATGAAGAAGCAGCATATCTTTCAAATACCTCAGTGGAGCTAGGTAATGAAAGTATCGACAAAGAGACCGTCACCACATTACCCGATGACTACGCACACATTGAAAGTTACGAAATACTGAATAACGCACAAGAAGAACACACTGGTGAAAAACATGATTTCGAGGCACCGACTGAGTCTAACTTCCTCGACTTTAGCGATCAAGATGAATCTGTGCAACAATCTGAGTCATTTGAAGAACAGGAGTCGATTGCCGACATACTAAGTGATCTGATGTCCGAAGATATCACTACACCATTGCCGTTAGAAGCCGTAACTGAAAAAGAAGGCGTTATATCGTTAGAAGATACTAACATTGGTGGAAAAGAAGGTGTGAATGCACAAGCAGAAAGCATTGTCGACATAAACAATGTCGAAGAGAAACTAGCTACACAACCAGAGGCCGAGACCACGGAGACGCATGAGCCGAACGGAGAAAAATTGATCACATTCTATCCAGAGGTTCAGGACCTTAGCGTGCAAGCAAACAATGATATTGAAGTGCCGCAGGGAGCTGAAGATGCGACACGTTTGACACAGTTGCCTGGGGATAGTGGCACTCAAGTCAATCAACTTGAAGACGCTGATCACACATTATCACCTGAAGAACTGCCATTCGATTTGACATCTATCGATGATATACAACCACAGGAATTGGAGTCAGATAGTTTAGTTTTGGGGACGACCACAACACCTGCAGTGATGGTGGAAGCAGAGCCAGAAGTGGAAGCAGAAGAAGATGAAGCTTCCGGAGCGGGCGTTCATGACGTGCGACATGAAGAAGCGACAGCAACACCGGACGATATTCTCGAAATAACCACACAGACTATGTTGGGCTTGGCAAGTCGTGTAACACTAATGGAACCAGCTGCGCCAGTTGCTACAACACTTAAGCCGCTGATGAACGAAATTTCGCCAGAGAGTGAAGCAACACCCGAGCCAGTAAAGGAAATACCTGCCACAGAAAATGTGCTAACCGCTAAACCAAATACAGGTGAGTTAAATGCATTGATATATTACAGAGCGAAGCCGTGTAACGTACCGACTTTATTCACAGAAATACGTAAGCGTGTTGAATTGGGTACTGAAGCCGTTTCTCTCGGTCTGAATTGTATGCATGATCGCCAGTGCCAGCTGGCTGATCCAAATACGATTTGCAATACGCGCGGTGTTTGCGACTGTGCGCTGAGCGAGCCAGCAGCTGAAACGCAATGTAGTGCGCAACGTACAGGTTGTGCACCCGGTACTTTCCAGGTAATATATCCGTCTACAGTATTGCGTACACTTTACACATTTATGAGGAAATATTTTGATCACATTCTCATTTCCAAATAAACAGTGTCGTTCCAGCGGCGTATGCATCTCTTGGTTCTTCGTATGCGACGGCCGGCCCGACTGCAATGACGACTCCGATGAGGAGTGCACCTTCAATGCTCGCTTGAACCAAACTTGCCCACAGGAGGCATTCCAATGTGAACGTAGTGGCCGTTGCATTTCGCGTGCCGCACGTTGTGATGGACGCAAGCAGTGCCCACACGGTGAGGACGAAATCGGTTGTAATACGGTAAAGGCTGGTACATGCCCGCCACACACCTTCCGTTGCAAGAGCGGCGAATGTCTACCCGAATACGAATATTGTAATGCGATAATATCGTGTCGCGATGGCAGTGATGAGCCGCCCCATTTGTGTGGTTCTCGTTCGATGCCGACCTTCTTTCTGCGTTTGTTGAATGCGGGTGGCTTACTGGAGAACGAGGATGCTTACTGCCCGCATCGTTGCAGCAATGGACGTTGCCGTTCGACGGCGATCGTTTGCTCGGGTAGAGATGGTTGCGGTGATGGCACTGATGAGCAGACATGCTCCGTTTGCAGTAAGTAAAGTATTATGTAGTCATAAATATAAGAAATGCAGGTTGCTGGGTTGGTTTTCAAAGAGAAAATTTAGAAAAAATACATTACTACTACGGAGCATTGCTTTAATTTTGCATTGAAAAAGTCATTTCGGACTCAGCAATCAATTTATTGTTATGATTTGATGGTCTCATTTTAATTGTTTTAGAACTCAAATGTCGTGCCCTTAACTAATAGATATTATGCTTTACTTTTACAGGATGTCCTGCGCCGAATAATAGCGGTTTTACTAACTATCTTGCCAGACATCGTCCCATGCCGTTATGGTAGATTGGATCACAGCGTAGATTGCAGCAACCATAAACTCACGCACACGAGCCCCCATCCGCCCCAAAAGGAGTAACTCATTTCGGTATTCCTCAGTGGTTTGTGGTAAATGTGAACAGTTTTCCAGCGACTACTTTCATTTCAAGTAACCAGAGCATGGCAATTTTGCAGTAATCCGCTCGTGGCTGCTACCAAGCATGGCTAACCCAGCGCCTTATGATAATTTTTTTTTTTTTTTTTTGAAACTCTGCTGTTACTCCAAACGCCTAAAACTAGCGGTTAAGCTTATTTATTCTACACATAAAACTATGTCTTATCATTAAAATGAAATATCTCGTAGCTATTGCCACCTTGCTGGCGAGGGACAACGTGCGCTTTAGATTGATAGATGCGCATGCTCACCGTATACTTTTCATATAGGATACATTGGAATAAAAGATGTCCTTTCTGGTACTTGGAAAGGATACTTACCCCATTCCTATACATTGCACAAACAATTTCTTTGACCCAGTGATGTTGGCAATTGCTTACAAACAGACACAATGGCACGAAATCATTTAACATTTACAGCACCCTTATTTATTTTAAACTATTTATTCTCATCTTCCCTCCCATTTTTGAACTGCCAGTTTAAGTTTTAGTTTGTAGAATTAAGTTAAAAAAAAAAATTATATGAAAACAACGGTAAAGAGATAAAACAAAAAGATTATAAAACTATGCAAAAATAAACTAAATCAATTTGATAAAATTAGGCAATTCAATTTTCAATAGATAAGCACTTCAAACTGAATATTCGTATCAGCAGAAAAACTTTTATGAAAAAAAAAATTATAATAAAAATTTGTATTTCTTTTAAATGTAATTTTTTAACTATTTTGCTTTTTTCTTTAAAACTATTTGCAAATTAAAGTGTAAAAAACGTAAAATGCAAAATACCATAGAAACAACACTAACAAATTTGATATAAAAAAATTACGATCAAACACATGCTATTACATATTTAAAGTTTAAAACTGTTCAGTGCAGGCTTTTAGCTGCGTCTATACTCCTCCTACCCGAGAAATAATAATAATCACGTCTAATATATTTTAAATAAAAAAAAAGAAGTATATAAATTTGAAAAAAAAAAAAATGAAGCTTAATTTGTAAATACTTGTGTAAGACAAATATTTATGTATATGTATGTTGACATTAAAAAAAAAACACATATTACATTCGTACATATAAATATATAAATAAAACATATGTATAGGTTTGAAAAAATATGCATTTAAAAATAAAAACCATTCTTTCCCATAAAGTGGATTATTTTAATCGCCTGCAAATCGCTGAGCAGCGCAAAAGTTTTATGCGTTACAAGTAAATATATGTATGCAATATATGTATGTAGTATGTGTATTTAAAATGGAAAATGTAACACATTGAATGTTAGATAAAAAAAAACTCATATTGCATTTATTAATAATTAAATTTAAATAAAAACAAATTATTAAAAAATAACAACTCTGATTTATTTATTTTACCGCAAAAAAAACTTATTTTTTAAAGTACAAATACGTATTTTTATCCTTTTCATGGCCGTAAATAAAATAATTTATTTACTTTGGTTTAAAGTAAATAAGTATCAGAGGAAGAAGAGCGGAACCACCTCAAAATAACTGTTAACATGTGAGGGAAAAATTACTTACTCAACGAGATATGTGATTTTTTTTTGTGTATCTGCACTCTGCATCCCCGGCGATTGCGCTCAGCCCAATCCATAAAAAAGGGACCCCACAGTCTGCGCCAATTATCGTGGAATAAGCCCCCGTAGTATCGAATATAAGGTCATATCGGGCGTATTGTGTGAAATTCTAAAGCCTACCGTCAATCAACTAATTGGACCTTTTCAGTATAGATTTAGTGCTGGTAAATCGGCCATTGACCCGAAATTCACCATGCGCCCAATCTTGGAACAGACCCGTGAAAAAGGATCGACACATATCACTTTGGTATCCCTAAAACTTAAACGGCTATGTAAGCTAACGTTGAGCAGTACTAAAAGTTCCGTCAGAATCGGGAAGAACCTCTCCGAGCCGTTTGATACCAGACGAGGTTGTAGACAGTATGACATATGAGTCTATTATTTAATACCTCTTTGTCTTTTTGAAGGCGTCCACGGAAGTATCGATTTCTTCGAAAGGATGAGACCTAGAACAGAGAAGCAAAAAGCTTTATGATCTGCTAACTATGGTCTTTGGAAGTACACGTATGTATGGATTTATTTTTTAACTAATTTTTGTGAAAGCGGCACACTTTTTTTAAATATGGGTTTTCGACTAAAAAATACGCAATATATTATTGAAATAAAAAAAGCTTACATTTATTCGAAAAACGGCTACGTATTTCAAAAAAAAAAATGTATTTGTGAAGCTACCGTCAAAATTTTAGATAAACCTAAGCAATAGGGTTCCAATATTCTGTCCTCCCAGTTTGAAAAATATGATTTTGAAAAAAAACGCGTTTTTTTTGTTTTCATTGTACTCAGCGCACGCTCCGAGAGGCTGCAGCAAAATAAAAAGTTCAGCTATTTGAAATATTTTTGTCACCTTAAAATCAATTGCATTACCCTGTGGGCGAAAATCCTAGAGTGGCTTTACCTCTTAAAAGAGCAGCTAAATTGATGAACTTTCATTTTTCTTGCAAAGAGTCTACTGAGAGTTTTTATTTCACAGTTCTAATGGCACCGAAGCAATTGTATATCTAATGTTCGGTTTCATTTGGTGTAGTAAAAAGAGATCCATTATTTTTCCAATAGAAGGTGTTATTTATTTGTATCTCGCGTTGTATAAGTTTAATCGGGCTCCGCATTAGCATTAGAAAAATGACATTTCGTACTAAAAAAGCTTACCGGACGGTTTTGTAATAAGTTGATTCAGTTTTTTTTTGAGCGTGCGTCAAAGGTGGACACTAAAAACGGGAAAATATGACATATTTTACAGTGTTTTTTCGATAAGGGCGAAAACGCCAGCCAAATAGCTGAAAATGTGAATAACGTTTATGGTCCTGATGCTGATAGAGTCGATCATGCACAGTTTCGGTTTCATTCCGGTAATTTCATTTTAATTTTGATAATTGTCGAAAATGTTATAAATAAAATAAAATATTCATGAAAATATATATAATTTTTTTTAATTAATTAGTTCGTCTAGTCATCGGATAACGAATGAGTCATATTTTAAAATATCAAATAATAGTTATCAACGAAACAACAATTTTATTGCTTTATTGCGTCCCGTAACAAACATAAATGGAACACCAAGGGCGAAAGTTGTGGCGACATAGTAGAAAGAAGAGAGCAACGAGAAGTATTACCACTGATATTATATGAGCTTCATGTTTTTGCTCACTTCATGAATAGTTAATCCCACGAGACCCTTTAGGGCATACAATGTGGTGTAATTACAATATTCAACAAAATTAATTTTTTTATCACATGGAAAATTATATCGAATTTCTAATGTATATATAAGACCCACCAAACAATAAAATATCAATTGGAAAATATGTGCACATCATGTTTATAGTGCCATTAAAACAAATAATTCCACAATAAATCCAAAAATCTGCAATTAGACAAATTTTATTGCTTAAGAACTTACAATATATACAATACCTTGGTCTCTTCTGTTATCTCGTAGCCTTCTCAGACTCTATTTAGCTTTTGGCATATTACAACCCAAAAGTATTAAAGTAAAAGTTGTATGATATTTTTCATAAGTTCATATATTTCTTCTTTATAATTTTCTAATTTACAGTTTCTAAGCACGTTCTGGAGAACAAAACATACATAATTTTCCTGATCATTCAGTTTTCCTTCAAAGATCCGCCATATTCGCGGTGCTAAAACTATTCCAATTTAGTTTCGTTATGTTTTGGTAATGTCTCTCTTAGGAATCAAAATCCACCACCGTCTTTATACAAGTATATATAACTATATATTTCGTATATACATTATATTGTTAGATATAGCAAAGGGTACTTCATTATTTTTGCATTAAAACGAAAGCTTTATTTATCACAGTGAGAATTGTATGATTTGTTTCAAAAATGCCGGTTTTGCTCGAAAACTTTTTGACATTTTGAGGGTAATGTCATTATGCCTCCCTTCTAGAAACTATTGTTCGCATTGTCGAAAATTTCCGACAATCGACTTTCATATGCTTCTCTTGAGGCCAAATTTTCACCAGCCAAATCACACGCTAATCACTTGGCGCAAAGTCTGTGCATGATTGACTGTTACAGTATCAAGTTCATAAACAATATTCACATTTTCAGCTAACTGACTTGTGTATTTTCTCTTTGTTGGTGTACATGCAAACACTACGGAGTTAGGTTATCAACACTTAACAGGACCCAAACCCAGGCCTTCCGAAAGTTAGTTGGTAATGCCAACAATTAGCTATTGCGGCCGACATCTGTGATCTTTAGCCATAGTTTTTTACTAAATTTTTCAGCCGGTCTAGCTCAGGCAGGTCGCCACTATGTGGGATGGATGGTAAGTGTATTTGGACTTGGCTGTAATGCCTTTTACTTGGTGCCTTCCAAGTAATTGGTTTTTGTTTGGCCCAACAATAATATATAAGAATATACTACTTTCTCCAGACTGGATAAGGAAGCGAAGGATACGGGTCTGGTAGTGAACGAGTGCAAAACAAAATATCTTCAGTCATCAAACAAACAGTACCGCATTCCCGATTCGGCTCCCACGTCAATGATGACAGTGATAACTTTTCAGTCGCAGAAAATTTCGTCTATATAGGGACCAGCAATAACACCACCAACAATGTCAGCCTGGAAATCCAGAGCAGAATCATTCTTGCCAACAGAAAACCTGAATTTGATTGATACAAAATGATTTTTATTTTGAATGAAAACAAATATAAACAAAAATCATTAAAAAGTTCGTGTGATAATCACTGTGTGGGCCAGTGTTAATACTGTTTACTCATTCCTTTTATTGAACGAACCGTTTTTCTCCCTGCTCTGACCTAAATACGGGCAACCGATAAATGCATTAAATTTTTGCTTCCGTTCTACTTTACGAGAAAAGATTCTATATGTATGGGCCACGACTAATACCGCAGGTGACGGAACGATGAGCTTTATGAGATATTCGACGACGGTGCACCGAATTAAGAGCCAGCGGCTATGATGAATGCGATGTGGTGCTGATGGAATCAGAGGACAACCTCCAGAACGACCTGGCTTCACTTGCTGCTTTATTGGCATTACACTGTTACGCTGCAATATTAAATCGTAAGTACGTTTTTTTTTGTCAATATGTAGTTTCAAGGGTATGTACATACATATGTACATATGTACATACATAGGGGTGTGTATATAAGTATTTTGCACTTGCATGCGCAATGGAGAAAGCAAATAATTTGATATTTATTTATTGCAATAAGCAAAGAAGAAAACAACAACAAGAATAACAAATGCCAAACCAAAACAAACAATTAAATTCCATATTCCGCGCTTTTTGCAATTATTGCAATTAACATAATAAACGCGCAAACTCACCACTGACTCCTGAGTTAGAGAGCGGCGTAACAGTGAGAGTGACTTCTTAGCATGCTGCTTACATCGTGTCGGTTACTCTACATCAATTGCTATTATTCATTCATACTTGTGACCGACTAAAATGACAGTGGGTGGCAAACATGTTGGTCTCAAATGAGTTATAAGAACAAACTATAAGTGTTGTAGTGGTTCAAGGGATTCAAGGAGGAAGTTATTCCAAGTTTTCATATCTGTTTATCGTCAGCAGCTGAAGATTTCCAAATAAAAAGGGGAAATTTGATTGAGTTGTTTGCTAAAACAAGTCTTGATTTAAGTGTTTTGTACGTTGCACCATTTCGATTTAGGAGCATATCCATATTTCCTTACCTGAGTCATAAGAAAAAACCGAAATAATCTCTCCGAGGATGCGACGATGGGTAGACGTTCGCACAGGTAGGAAAAGCTTTTTGAAGAAGCCAAATATCCCCTGAGTAGCTAAGAAACAAACGAATATTTAGTGGCAAGTTGATGTGAGAGGACGATTCCCTTCATATTAATTGCTCCGAAAGGGAGGCGTCACTTTGCCAACGAACAGAAAGCGCGTGGAATACGCGAAGCCTTAATTAGAAAGGTACCGCTGCCTACCAAATCGAGGTTGTACAACGTATCGCCACGAATCTGTTCTGTAAGCATCTGGAACTTAAGAGTCGGGCCATTTTGTGCGGGTGTACACAATAAAGTTACTTTTCCACAATAGTCAGAACAATGAAGTATTCTTGAGTAGGCTGAAACTTGGAGAATTCAGATCACCCAAAATATGATAGTGAGCATTACCAGATTTAATTTTAAGAGATTCATCAATCTACATGGCAGTTGGTTTGATTAAAAATATCAGTCTATTGGTATTCTGGCTCAAGTCATAAAGTCAAGGCAAGGTGACAGTCTCTTGTGCGACTTGTTTAACCTCATGTTATGTCAATGATATGGATATTATTGGCCTCAATAACCTCTGATTACTAAGAAATCGATTAGGAACCGAGATGAATGGGTGTGGTAGCGAACCAGGACATGCGAATTCCCGATTCGAATCTCTCGTCATTGTTGACAGTTATAACTTTAAAATTGTGGACGATTTCGTTCAACTAGCAACCGGAATAAACAACAACAGCCTGAAAATCGTACGCATATTTCCTTCTGACAACGGGCTCTTCTTTGCACTGAGTAAGCAATTGAACTTCTCTCTGGAAAAAACAAAAATCAAATTGTACAAGTTGCTTATCACTTCCGTTCTACTTTACGAGAAAAGATTCTATATGTATGGGCCACGACTAATACCGCAGGTGACGGAACGATGAGCTTTATGAGATATTCGACGACGGTGCACCGAATTAAGAGCCAGCGGCTATGATGAATGCGATGTGGTGCTGATGGAATCAGAGGACAACCTCCAGAACGACCTGGCTTCACTTGGTGTCTCCAATTGGCACCGAACAGGTAAAAGAAGACACGACTGGCGAGCTAATGTTAATTCGACAATAATGGCGTAGACAATGCCTAGGGCAGAGAAGAAGTTGAAGAAGCAGCCAGCATTGCAAAATTAATGTTACCCAAGAGTCATACAACGCTTATTTAGAGAAAATCAAAAATTAAGATAGGCAAGCAAACTGGGTCAATCAACCTTCAGTTTTCTTCCTGTGTAATATATATAATAAATACATATAACTTATTGCGTGAAAATTCATACTCACCTCTTACTATTTCACCATACTCACAGGCAAGCTATATACTCACGGTCATACTCAATTTGTCAACAATGAGTGTGTTTAGCAGGGCAGTCGCTCCGAGTACACTAAACCGGACATCCTCGAGGACAACGCGGATTCTATTGTGTGATATGAATAAATACTTAGAAATATTGCACAGTTTCACACGGTCGGATGGACGGTTGGTGATGCAAAAATTCACTCACGCTGACACATTTCACAAATTATAGGCTGGGCTCTTAGTTGATTTGTGCAAAAATAAATTGAAAAGAATTGAAAATATATTTTTACAATCAATCGAAAAATATATAGAACAGCGTTTAACGGTGTCTTTAATCAAAATGAGAAAGCTGTAGATTCTACTTTTAAAGGAAAATCTTTGCTCCAATTAAAGAATTTGACTCGTGTGTGCGTGCGTGTGTGTGTGTGTGCGGGCTTTAACGCGAATGTGTACATTATACTATAGACATATACATTTGTATGTGTATTTTTGCTTATAAACACTATGTGTCGTCATTCTCGTGGCCATCGCCGCAGTTAACGTCAGCATTGCCTCGACTACATCTACCGAAAGTGATAACCCCGTGGTAATAAAAGCTGAGCTTAACCCCTATGTGTATAAGAAAAAATTTACTTAACGAAAAATTAAAAGATATGTCAAGCTTTCTTTTCACTCCAATTTACATGGTAAAAATATTGTAAATAATACTGTTAAAGTTATGGTACTAAATGCCTACCTTTGTTGTTTATAAAATGGGTCCCAAACTAAATGGGAAAATATGAGGAGTGGAAAACAATTTTGAATTAGTGTGGAGCCACCCACTTTTGGGTTAAAAAGTATGTCTCAGAAGCCACTAGACATTAGGCCAGAAAGTTTCTGGAAATTGTCTTTTAAACTGCCCGCGCTGAATATTATTTTGTCAAATTTCTTTTAAAAAAAAGTCGTATAGTGCTAAATCCGATGAATACGGAATACGGTGGTTCATCGCTGGTATTGAACGAGTTGTTGGTCTTAAAATCGTTCACAACTACAACTCGGTGCGAGGGCGATGATAATAATCGTGAAAGCTTTCGGAATGTCAAGAACTCCTGCCGTTTACGACGGATGTTTTAGCGCAAACGCCTCTAAACCCGCAAATAATACTCTTTATTGACTGTCTGTCCCGTTGAATTCATGTTAAAAAACAATTTCCGGAAACTTTCTGATCTTATGAAAAGGAATTCAATATGGGCAACAACTAGAGACTTTTCACTTTCCACCCCCCCAACTTGGCTCAAGTTCGAATATTTGGGATCTTAAAAACAGATTTTAGCCTTAGTTGTTAAGTTTTCTACTTTTAAAGGAACTGAAGTCCCATCAAAGGTGTCATATATAGATCCCATATCAGGGAACGTTTAATCGATTTGCCGACCTTGGATTGAATAGTTAAGAAATTTATCAAAAATACTTGATTTCAATTAACGGTTATTATAGTAACAGTAACTAAAATACAATGCGGAAGCACGCCGACTCCCCATATAACTAGCTGCAGTCCTTCAGTGAAAGTCAGATAAGATGCCTGGTGTATAATATAAATATCAGAGAATTGTCTAATGTTCGATTCCGCGACAATTTTGTTTATCAACATACCCATTAAAACCAAAATTGAGCTTCATCGATGAACAAAAGTTTCTTGTGAAAATCGGAGTCGTTTGGCAACTTCTTTTGCGCCTATTTACCGAAAGTGCGAAGCGCTTGATTGTCGCTCTGCTTCAATTCTTGCACGAATTGTATTTTGTAAGCCCGCCAACCAAGTTCCTTCCTCCAAATCTTTCACAAACTGAATGTGCATAGCTCCGATCCGCACCATGGCGGATGAACTCATTCGAGTCTTTTTCGATATTCTGCTTCACAACAGCAGTAGCGTCGTCGGTGCGCAGTGTACGCAGTCTCCGAGGATGTGCATTATCCACTGGAGTAAATGTGGTACGAAACCAAACCATGGTTGCTCTAATTACCAACTCGGCTCGGCGCTTATGTCGACCGAGTAGACGCAGCAATCAAATCATTATTTTGGTAATAAATTGCATTATGAAATGGTAAACCAGGTATAATTCAAGTAACAGATACTAAAATAGTCCAACTCCGAAAAAGATATTGCCCATTGAAAACCATACGTCTAAAATTAACACCCTATACCTTAAAAATGGCAAGAGTGTTTCAAACAAAATGGAAAATCTATTATTGCAACGTTTGCTTGTGAATTTTAGTTTGATTGAAACCACCTTCGAGGTACTGTTGAAAATCATCACTAAAAATTTTGAGGAGTATTTCAGTTGCGGCCGCGGTAGCCGAGTGGTAAGTGCATACTCTCATTCCGAAGTCCAGGATTCAAGTCCTGGCACGACAAACATTCAAAAGTTAAGGAAATTTAATTTAAATAAAAAATTAAGTTGAATCTTCTAATTGTGGTCGCCCTGAGGTAGAGAATATCAACCCCTTCCAGTAAGTCTCTCCATTTGTTGGAAAAACATCAAGACGCAAAACCACAAATTGGAGAGAAAAACTTCGCCGATTTCTACCTCCATCATTTAGAAATGGAAAAGTCCTCAATAACAACAACTGAAATTGCAAGAAATGACTTTGATTTAAGGTCCACTGCCTGTCTGAAATGGTTTGGTGTTTTCATTAGCCTCATCACAAGCCTCGTAACTCTGGGAAGTAATTGCAGCATTGCGAAAATGCACACGCATAAGTATCATTGTATGTGTAATGCAGGTACAAAAGGTTTGGGTATCCCCAACTAAAAAAGCCTACTAAATTAATCACACATACATACATACAAGTATAAGAACACTCCTGAGCAAGCCAAGAGAAAGAAAAGAAGGTGGCGTTGAGCTTTGCATGTTTTATGCGAAAAAAAATGTTGTAATAGGGATGCAAATATCAGTTAGTATGTTTGTTTATGTGTAAAATACTGACGTAGTAAAAAATGGTATGAAATGCTAGATTTTGTGTTTGCTGTTGTTGTTGTTGATTCAATTTCTTGACGCGCTTGTCCTACTGGCCTCATTGTAATGCCACGTACATATAGATATAATATTTAAATATCTGCATATGTATTTAAGATATCTAAATATATATAGTATGTGAACAGTTCGTATTGAATGCCGCATTTAAAGTTTTTGAGCTTTAGAAATGACAGGTGTTTGGAATTATCGTCGTCCTTCGCTTGTTACACATATAGAACTATAAACTTTGTGGTTTGTATGTATGTATGTCGGCTAAATTAGTTTGAATATAAATAGATACAAATATATGTATATATGTACCTGCATGTACATCCTTTAAAACACATGGACATATACGTATCAAAAATACTCAACTCGTTCGCATAGTTATTAACAGTAATTATGTTAGTTATTTAGGCGGGACGAAATTCGTCAATGGTATTGCGTTCCTTTACCTAGTTTTACTAATTCTCATACCTAAAAGATTTATTGGACGGGGCTATATGATGAAGTTTTCCGATATCAATGATTTTCGGTGACAATATTTGTTGCTTTTTTGGCAATTTTTTATGCTAAACCATTTTGTAATTTATCATATGTGTGCAGAACACCAAATATCACCATCTTTGATTGTAGTATCTCAAGAACTGAGAGACTAAATTGAGGATTTGGTATACATACAAGGGGCGGCCGACTTTTTCGCGGCCTAAGGTAGTTAGAGATGATACATCATCTCGTTACTGACAAAACTAATTTCTTGACTCATTATGGGTATAAAGAACACAACTTTTTTTTATAAGTTCATTATCATAACGCTCTTGGAAAAATCAACAATACTATGTCAGTGGAAAGTAAAAAGCTGTGTTCGGTTCTTCAGGATTCTCCCCGGTTATATACGATGGTGAAAAAGTGGACACGGCTGTTTCTAAAAGTAATAACACTCCATCTTGTGACGGTCGTGATCGAAGAAAATGTTCAAAAAGTCAAAATATTGGTACTGGCTGATCGAAGATAGCAGAAAGTTTACTGATTAGCAAAGAATAAGCTGGAGACACTTTGCATGATCACTCAATAAGCAGTAAGGATTGGAGAGTTGTAAATATTTTTTTTAATTATAGTTGATTTTGATGAAATTTACCCCGCATTGTAACCGCTGAAGAAACTTGGATTTTTCAGCATTATACCTAGTCCAAACAGAAGGTCGCCAAAAAAATTCAAAGCGGAAAAGACGGCGTCGAAGATTATGGCTACCATTTTCTTGGAATATTGTTAATTGAGTACTAGCCCAAAGAAACTACAGTAAACGGCCAGTATTAAGCTCTTCGCTTCCTCGAGTAAGGCGCTTGAGGCACTTGTACAAAAGAGTATTTTCAAATTAGCGCGCGGAGTGTTGTTTCTCCAAGACAACGCCCGAGTTGGGAGGGCTTCCTTAAACGCTACTGGATTTACAGAAATAGGGCATCCACCCCACAGTCCGGATTTGACTCCCAATGAAAAGGGGAGCTACTGTAGTAGAGAACCTTTTCGATGAGAAATCTTTAAATATTTTTCAGTGGTATAAAGGCATTTTATTCACAATGTGAAAAGTGTATTTCACTTGAAGAAGAATATATTGAAAAATTAAAAAACATATGACTAAACATTTGTTTATGAAGTACCTTAGGTTGCGAATTTATGAGCCGGTCTTTGTATGTATGTATACGTGCGTTGGCTTACCATCTTCTCGGAATCTAACCAAACTTTCTCGGCATATGTGGACTACATCATAGATTTATGCAGAGTTTGTGGTTTGCAAAAAAGGGCTTGGCACCGCTATATTCTTATTTTATAAACGAGAACGATTTCGCAGACTTAAATAAAATTTATTCGGGATATTACGACTATTTGATTTTTGTTAACTCAAATTTAGAAATACTTCTCTTCATTATCCAATCTGAAGAAAGCAGTATACTCTTATAGAATATTGTACCTACTCTATTCAGCTCTGCGGCTCTTACTATTTACTTGTTGCTTTATCAGGTGGCCTCTATATATGTGAATAATTTGTTCAGGTATGAGAGTTCTGCATGTTATGAAGGCAACATTTATATTCCCTTTTATTATTCATTAAGCATAGCTAAAAAAATCAAAAAAATGATAAATGGGTTTTCTCAATTCTTAATTTAATATTTTAATATATTTAAATAACTTTATTGCATCTGAGTGTACGTAAATTAAATTTTTCTCAACATAATGAATTAACTTGAATTCAAATTCAAATACCTGTGATGAGCATTACGACCTTGAAGTCCATGAAATCATCGTTACAATGTTGCAACTATTAATTTAAAGATTATGATTAAATGCAGGAAGCAGAAAATATTGAAATTATCTAACATAACAAGTTTCAAAAAATACACATATGCTGATATATGTGTGTATGCATGTAGACGTAGAGGTGTCATAACTCAAATTATAAAAAATAAACATGCAAGAAACAATAATCACGCTTCGAAAGTCAACTATGTACTTTCCATAAATTAATTGAAAAAAATATATTTGAAATACATTAAAAATGTCACTTTTATACACAACTACATATGTATATATATGAATG